GAGAGATTTTCACTTCCTGGCCTCTGCACCAACTAAGGATGCATACGACCATTTTAGTATGAGTAACAAGATAAACTTGATCCTCAAACTTTTTTAAATGAGTATCAAGATATTTCTAGATGAGTGATTCCACCACACACCAAGCTTGATCCTTAATAAATGGAAAAACCCCCCGTGCATCACCTGTCAATTCTGGTAATTGAATTCGGGTCGTTCGGCTGCACGACCGCATACCCAATGACTGAGCCAAGGCTCTCTCTGCAAAAAATGGAGATATTTTCACTTCCCAACCTCTGCACCAACTAAGATGCATATGGTCATTTTAGTACGAGTACCAAGATAAACATGACCCTCAAAATTTTTAAATGAGTATCCAGGTATTTCTTGATGCGTGGTTCCACCACACACTAAGCTTGGTCCTTAATAAATGGGGGAAATCCCATGTGCATCACCTGTCAATTCTGGGAATTGAGGTCAGGTTGTTAGGCTGCACAACCGCATACCAAACGACTGAGTCAAGGCTCTCTCTGCAAAAAAAAGGGAGAGATTTTCATTTTCCGGCCTCTGCACCAACTAAGGATGCATACACCCATTTTAGCATGAGTACCAAGATAAATTTGATCCTCGGAATTTTTAAAATGAGTATCAAGATATTTCTTAATGAGTGGTTTCACCACACACCAAGCTTAATCCTCAATACATGAGGGAAAACCCCTGTGTATCACCTGTTAATTCTGGGAGTTAAACTCGGGCCGTTAGACTGCACAACCGCATATCCAACCACCGAGCCAAAGCTCTACTTTTATAGATATTAGCCTCTGAGCCAGACCCACTGGAGGCGCTCAATTTAGCCATCTCCAGCGATCCAGGCTCAGGCGAAGCAAAAGAGCGCACGTGGGTGGCTCTAGCAATGCAACCTCGTGCGGCCAGATATGTGGTGTACTTGAGGTTGCACGTGGTTTGTTGGTTTAACTCGTAATCTCGCCCACTTATTAGTCACTTCTAATGTGCACAACGGTGTTTCGATACAAGATAAGGTTTACAAAAAAGAAGCACATCGACGTCGTTCCATTCAGGTGATCGACTCATAGTTTTGTTCATCAAATGTCTAATTTTGTGTTCATGTTTGGAGCTATATTGTATGAATTTTGCCAAAGTCATCTTGCAGTTTCACATGTCTTTCTTCTTGTACTTTTTCTGTTTCAACGACCGTAGACAAGTGGATTTATATTTCATTCCTCTCGGCCTGCTCTCAGGAGTCCTGCTGCACTAGCGTCACTGTCGGTGTCGTTCCTCTCAGCCTCCTCTCCCGTGTCCTCCTACACTGACGACACCGTTGGCATTGCTTCTCCCGGCCTCTCTCCCACGTCTTACTACACTGGCACCGTCGCCGACGTCGTTCCTTCTGCATCCTCTTCCGCGTCCTACTACACTAGCATTGCAGACGACGTAGTTTCTTCGGCCCCCCTCTCCCACATCCTACTACATAGCCGCCGATGTCTGCGTTGTGGCCTCCTCTTCCGCGTCCTACTACACTGACGCCGCCATGGCATGCGCACTGTATTTATCCTCACCGTCCTATGCCTTGGCGCCCTCCTTCTCGTCCCTTCTCATGGTTTTTCCCTACGGTGACAACGCTAGCAAGTGGTTCGCCATGCTGTCAATGGGATCGCTTGCCGTGACTCCGTTCTCATCGTGTCGGATGTGGTGCCGTGACCGTCGTCCATGATAGTTATCGAGGCACTCTAGTATAAATCCATGTGTCATGTGTAGCTGTTAACTCTTAACCATGTTCAATGTATACAATCAAACACCGCGTAGTGCATCAAGCCCTACCAATGTAGGCCACCAAATGCAAGACAAAAATTGCTTCCTAAATGCAGCCGACCTATTTGCAGCCTACCAAACGATGTGCACAACATAATTTTTACCCTGCATCTGCTTAGTCAGGTCCAATTGAGACAAGTATGCAAAGTAAAAAACAATGGAGGCAATGGAACACCCTCTTGATGTATGGATGGATTAAAGCATAATATAAAACAAGGAGAGACAACACCTCCAAGAGGGCAAGGAATTATAAGTTGCCACACATCACCAGCTTGGAGATCACGTCTTTTCCGATACACAATACAACTTGGCATACCAGTCAAACCATAATAAATTTCTCGATACACAATACATGGACCATGAAGATTCGATTATTACAACAATGCGAGGCATAGGCAGGCACATCTCGTGTGGCAACTCATGTACCTTATTTATCGAATAGTATCTCATGGCCTAGGATAGTAGCAGAAAAACAAACTACAAAGGCTGAACATAATCTCATCTCAACTCCTCAGATAGTTGAGAAGTTCAAGAGGAGGCAATATGTGTATATAAGGGCTTAATTATATATAAAATTAAGCTCCTGATACAACTTTGTTATTCCCAACTACGATATGGTTCATCCCAGATACAACATTGTTGCTCCCAGATACGACATTGTTACTCCCAGATACGACATGGTTGATCCCAGATACGCCATTGTTGAACCCAGATACGACACTGCTACTCCCAGTTACACCATGCCTGCTCCCAGATACAACATGCTTGCTCCCAGATACGACGTGGTTGTTCCCGGATACGGTGTTGTGATTCCCATATACCGCATGGTTGTTCCCAGATACGGTGTTTTCATCCCCAAATATGACAGTATTGTCGTTTCCGGATACAACATTCTTTCTCCCGGATCTCACAACATTGTTGGTCCCTGTTATGACATTTGGGAGCTCGTTAAGTCGTCGTCCCAGTGTGCTTCTATTATGCTTCACATACAATGGCATGTTAGTGAAAGTCATGCCCTCTGAATGCCCAGCGGTGGCGAGGCCCTTTAGTCGTGCCAAACTCTTAGGTACCTCGCCAACCAATGAATTATTTGAGAGATCCAAGTAGGAAAGGTGGTGCAGCTCACCAATCCACGATGGAATGGTGCCGACCAATTGGTTGCGAGACAAATCAAGCACCTCCATTTTCTTGCATTGAGACAACCATTCCGGAACCCTGCCCTTGAGAGCACAATCACCAAGGGCCAGCACCTCGAGGCTCTTGAACCCACCAATAATACTATCGCCGGGTAGCTCTTCACCACCAAAATTCTTGGTGAGAATCAACGTGGCGAGGTTCTGGCACCCATGCAACACGGTGAGCACCCCTGAGATGTTGTGAAAGTTGTTGGAGCCGAGGTCGAGTTCCTCGAGCTGCGCAAGGCCTGCAAGTGAGGTTCCTGGGATGGCCCCCTTGAGGCCTCGCCCGGGGAGGCGTAGTGCCATGACACGGCCGTTGGCGGCGTCACAACCCACGCCTTCCCAGCTGCAGCATGCGGCGCCGGACCACGTGGCACGGAGGAGGACATCCCGACCATTGAGGCTCCCGGCAAAGTCCAGCAGCGCACGGAGGTCGCCGGGGTGGCACGAATTCGCGCGCGCCTCGGGCAAGAGAACTGCCAAAAGGAGGAAGAACATCAGGTAACATTTGGCTATGGGATTCATTCTGCTCGAGTGATTGGCAAGTGCTCTTGGTGTACAAACTACTTGGGTGATACATGGTGTCTTATAGTGTGTGGCTTGCAACTTGCAAGTGGTAGTGAGTGGCCAGGCCACGTACTACAAGTAAGTGGCTGATCCACTGAAATTCGTGGGTGGCAATTTATCGGTGGTTTATATTTTACTTGTCGTGGCCCATTCATGCTTGTCTCTTCGTATCCTAAGCTGGCCAACTACGTACTGACGCAAGGATTTGTCTTTCTATTTACACCATCTTTGTCTAAGCTAGCGTCTCACATTTCTATTCACGTTGAAACAAATAAAACGCGACAGATGATGAATAGATCGAAAGTTTCTAGAAAAAACTAAGGCGTTGTGACCTGTGGATCCGAGTTGTCAGATAACCCTTAACGTATTAGTTTAAATTAATAAAGTCAACAAATTGAACTAAACGTAGACTAAACATTAAAGGCGTGTTTGGCAGCCGTATCAGCCAGCCCTGGCTTAGCTCAGCCTGGCTCAATGGGGCTGATTGAGCAAATGCAGGCTGTTATGCAACATCTGCACATTGTTTGGTTACCCGTATCTAGTTCTTTCGCACTAGGGGATGGCTTAGCGTACGGTGTTTGGTTGTATACGCGGGATATGATTAAGAGCTAACACTTACAGTTAACACACACTGTGCCTCACAACTGCATTGGACGGTGACCGCGGCACCGCGTCTGACACGATGAGCACGGAGTCTCGGGCGAGGGTTCTTGTCGGCGCCACGGCGAACTAGTTGCTAGCGTCGCCGCCGAAGAAGTCCATGCGGAGGAGCGCTGGGGCAGAGGATGGGGGAGGAGAAATGCAATGCGTGTGGGACCATGGCGATTGCGGTGGACGGTGGTCGTGGCGCCGCATCCGACACGACATGCACGGAGTCGTGTGCAAGAGACCCCGTCGGCGCTGCGGCGAACTAGTTGCTAGCCTCGTGGCCGCAGAGAAAGTCTCCACGAAGATACTGTACAGAGGAGGAGAAATGCAGTGCTCGTGCCATGGCAGCGTCAGTGCAATAGGACGAGAGGGAGGAGGCTCAGATGACAGATGCCGGCGACAACTCCAGTGTAGTAGGATGTGGGCAAGGAGGTCAAGAGGAACGGCGCCGGCGTCGAATGGGATGAACATGAGGGCTCTGAGACAGAGGACGAAGGAGAAGAAATACATGGTGCGCGTAATTATGGCGTCAGTGCAGTAGGATCGACAAAACGGAAAACTTACAACACGAATGTCGTAAGGAACTGCGAGATTAGGCTGCTGGGCAAAGAAAATTCCAAACGGTCGATTGTAGGCGAAAAATCTAACAAAATTCGTCAAAAATAGCTTCAAATATAAACAGAAAATAGAGCATTTACGGTCGACAAAACTACGAACTGGTCACCTGAATGGAACCGTAACAATGATGTGCATCTTTTTCGTGTAGAGCTTATATCCAATCGAAGCACCGTTGTGTAGATTAGAGAGGAGAAGAAAGAAAGGAGATTAAGCATGAGGTTAGTAGAGGAGGAAGAAGAAGCACCTAGAAAGCTCGCATCCCCCGTCTCTTCTCGTGCAAGGGAGGGGCCACTCGCTGTGCATAGCTCGGGCCTGGCTCACGAGAAACTATCGATTCGAACGTAGCTCGCGGGCCTGACTCAAGGATGCTTTAAAGTTCATGCCGTGCAGGTGACCGAACGGGCCGTTTTAATCCCGCGCGGGCCTGGTTGGCCCAAATGCGGGCAACCAAACGCGCCCTAACTAGCTAGGTCGCATCTATTACACAGCATATTAGATTTTTTTAAACCAACTTTGTCCAAGCGCTCTCACCTTCTTTCAAATAACTATTAAAGTGCGATAGATGATGAATAGATTAAAAGTTTTTAAAAAAACAATAGCATCTCCAACGCGGATCCCTAAAACCGACACTGCATTTGCCTGCGGACTGCGGACGTATCCGCGGACAGTGATACGGCAGCCGGCCATCCAACTGTGTCCACATGCATTTCAAACCAAATTTGAACAAAGCGGATTATTTTCTTGCAAACACGACGGAATTCACTTCAAGTTCCGACATAATTTTATAAAACGGATAGTATTTCTTCCGTTCAACTAAAACCTATAAAAACACCCTGCACTAGCTGTAGCGGACAGCGACCTTGTACGCATGGCCGGGATGGATGGCAGCATTTCTATCGTTGTTTGTGCCGTTGTCGTCGTCATCGTCATCTGAGTGGTCCTTCCAACGGCGAAAAGGCGCGGTAGCCCTTCCGGCCGCCGACTAGCGCTCACGGAGGAGACGCTCTGCTTGCTCCTATGATGTGTGCAAGGCCGCCGCGGTCAACGCCGACCCTGCCTGGGGAACCTTGCCCTTGCCGCTGCTGTTGGCGGCGGCAACAGTCTCGCTAAGAGACCACTCCTTACCGATCTTCGCGAGCTCCCCGTTGAGGCGGCGGAGCCCCGGCGCGGACGTTTCGCTGGCCCAGGCTTTATGAGACACCAAAGTTTTAAACCTGGGGTTTGGGGTACCACTAGCCTCCTAACGACTGTGGGTTTGGGGTACCACTAGCCTCCTAACGCCTCCTAACAGTCAGCCGACTGAAATTTATGGGTGGCAACTCCTCTTTTTCATATTATATTTTACTTGTCGTGGACATGCATTAGTGCAAATGCTTGTCCTTTTTTTAGGGATAATACTTGGTGACACATCTTAAGAGATCTTAAGCTAGCCCACTAATGCAAGGATTTTTTTGTCTTGCACCAACTAATTAATTCTACCAAGTCTCTTACTAATTAATTACAAACTGGTTAATTAGTTGGCCTTCTTTAGTGGGAATATAATTGTTAGTACTGTATCATGCAGTGCCAACTAGCAACTAAGCATGAGGCTGACATGACATATCATTAAATCAAGAGAGGGACACTTGTATAATAATATGGTGCCATACCATAACATGTAAATTGAGAAAACATAGTGTCAAATATATCTTGTCCACAACTTATTAGGATTCTACAAATACTAGTAAATTGTGCGTGCTTTGCACGTCATTTAAATATATATAAAGAACATGGGAAAATACATTTGAAATATGTATTTCCTTTCCTAGAATCGTATTGGACAAGATCCAACTTGGTTCTTACCTCTGTAGAATCCAGATTGTTCTGGTCCCTTTTTATTAGAGTATTAGATGAGCATGTGGATAGATGCTTTTAGAACACATGAGATGGTAGGCCTGTGGGTTCAATTAGAAGGCCACGTGGCAAAATCCTATGAGTTGAAAACTTTATCAGACGGATGATAATGCTCGGATTTGCCATCTCTTAACTGTTGAATGGGCATATCCAATGACTAATATTTGAAGCTATTTGCACACTATATAGTGGTGTGGTCAGAAATAATTTGCTACCATGGTGGTAGCTACACATGGCCCCAATTTTTATCTCTAATTATTTTGTTAAATTATTTTGGACCATGAAAAATTAACTCTATAACAAAAATATCGTGACTTTGGACCAGCCAGGCAAGCAAAAAAGCAGTTTTGCAAAAAAAAAAGGCAAGCAAAAAGACCGAGAGAAGTAAGAAAGGGCCCTTTCTACACAATGAAAAGACACTTGTTTCAAAAATGTAATAAAAATACAAAGAGAAGTGAGAAAAAAATCATTTCTAGACAACAAAAATGCACTTGTGCCAATGCCATAAGAAACCTGACACCTCATATATCAAAAAACGAACTTATGCCAAATTGTGTGTAGCTGCCACCATGTGTGCGTAGCTACCACCATGCATAAGAAATCACCTCTCGTATAGTGGTATAGATTAAATAAGATACTCACTTTATGAAATTATGCTTTGTGAAGGTTGTATCACTGACTAGTATCATACGGATGATACTAGTTTATAATACCACTCACTACACTGTGCATAATATTCAATATTATTCATTCTTGAATTTGTTTTTTCTTCATACCTAGTAGATAAATTTGTGATTTATCTTGTAATTCACCATGTCTATAGAAAGGCATCTCTTCCACATACTGTATTTTCTTGAGAATTTTTTAGAACTTCAAAAGATAGTTTCAACGTGGTTTTCACCCGTTTGCACGTAATATTCTCTCGGCGTGGCGGTGGTGTTATACTTAACAATTTGCATCTGATCAAACGAGGACATATACAGGATATCCCCCTTAACAGGGTATCCTCCTCTTTTGTTGCCTTATGCATGTAATGTTGTTTTCCAGCTTGAGGGCGTGATCCAGACTCATGGGCGGTCAAGAAAACTATTTGGAACAACACTTTCCAGTGTTGCAGCAGTGCGGTTTCCAGTGTTGCAGTAGCACCACCGCCAAATTGTTCCAAACAGTTTTGCGGCACCACCATTCATCTTGTCAAGGCCGGCCGATCCTAACGCTACACACATGCCCCTTACCGTTGAAGACGGCCACACAGTTGTCGTTGGTGCAGTGCACGATGAGACAGGCGTGGCTCCGACCTACTGTTTGTGGCTGCTGCTGCGGAGGCATCATTTGTCCACAACGGCTCCGAAGCTCATACAATGGATGGATGGATGGAGATTGATTTGTTGGGAGTTTTATCTACTTATTGTTTACTACGTAAATACTTGTGAGAAGAAAAATGATGGACAGCGTGTAGTGTAGTGCATGGCATGAAACGATAGAGGTATGTATGGCAGGTCGGCATGGATTTGCAGCAAAGCATAACCCAGGGAAAAGGACATGTAAGAGCGAAGGGACACATCTTGTTTTCCTTTTACATACATACATACATACATACATACATACATACATACATACATGCATGCATGCATACATGAGTTTAATTTGGATATGTCATTCAAGCTATTAAAATTCTTGATACATCAGTTTTGCTCCGAATATATGAGTCTCTTTATTTATTCTTTGTCATGCATGCAAGTACATCTTGTGTCAACATGGATGGGCGAACGCTGCAGCACACACTTATGCTATGATGT